GGCCAGACATCCGGGTAAGCAACCCCAATACAAGCAAGCGAACCAGCGCCGGGACGCGAACAGCGCGCGGGAGGTTCTAACAACGGGCGTCAAGCAGGGGGAGGATCTAGGGAAGCTGCAGTCTCGGCCGAAGCAGCGAAAAGGGGTGAGGAGTTGTCCCCTGTTGCTCATCACGCATTGATGCGAATGCCGGCCGATCAGTGCTGTGGTCCCTCGTATTGCATCGCTTCCAGTCGGCATTCCACAATAGGCTGTTGGCTTGGCCTGTTTGTTTCTTCAGCCCTGCTCTGGAAATAGCGCTGAGATGCAGGCTTCTTTCTTGGCGCGTGAGCTGGGATTGTTTTGCCGAATGCTGGCAAGTAGACCATCGGCATGGGGACAGAAAATGTCAACGGCGGTAGTTTGCGCGGCTTACAATTGCGAGTCCTGAGGGGAGTGGTGGGGGAAGTCATAGGCGGGCGGTCCTGCTGAAGCACTGTGCCAGGCTTAGATTTAGTGGGCACTCAGAGGCACCTTGCCTCAGACACTCAAGCGGAGGTGCCTTGAGGGCGTACCTACCTAAACTGGAACACACCTGGCCGACGTTCAAGGGGATGATGCAGGCTACGGCAATCCCCGCGCTTCTTAACTGGACAGGACAGGGCAGGGACGACCCTCTCATCAGTGAAGTACCTACTCAGTCGGTGACCAACTTCTCTTCTGTAACGAACCCAATTGATTGACGCCACTCCCAAGACGCCACGCTGCTTCTGCTGTGCTATTGTTCCCTGGCTTGCTTCTGCCTCACCTTATCTTGCGATCCTTGCCTCGCCTACCCGGGGCTCTGGAAGCTCGGCCAGTCGTCGGAGGGTGTGTTGTGCATGTCGTTCAAGCAGCCAAGCAACATCATACCAAGCCTGACCTGAGGATCCATAAACAACAGCCCGCATATGAGCCACTTGATTCTTAGGGCATGTGAGAAATTGCGCTTACCTGCCTTACCTAGTTCACAATCCTGGCACTGACGGCGATGCTCTTGGTGGTAGGACAACAGCAACCTACATCTTCTCGTTTGGACCATGGACGTCATGACAATCTAGCATCTCGGACTACCGGACATCCCCCCTTCGCCCACACCTCCTCTCCCCCTTCACCAACACACCTTTGCTTCCGTATTGGGAGAGCACCAGCCGCCCGGATCGGAAGTCCAATGCACCTCAAGGCACACATAGCGTCCTAACGGCCTGTTGTGCCCTTCGCATCCCAGCTTCTACCAGACTGCTCCCGCGTCTTCGTTCCACACACCAAGCTGAGGTCCTGCAGAGTCATCTTTTGACTTGGTGTCTGATTTGCTGACTGGAAGACTTCCGACAACCTGCTGGTAGCCACATGGACTATTGGAAGACCATGCTAGCCCTGTGGTGGTGGCTACTGCTGCTCATCTCCGCCTCCAGCGTCTTGTTCAACCTCGCCGACCAACCCGAGTCGCCAAAGTCTATCAACACCCATAGAATCCTTGGTGTTCAGATGCAGAGCGTCCCTGAAAGCCCTCTCTCGCCTTTGGAGACATCCCGGATACCACACAGACAATGCGGCCTGGGCGGGGCCGGGCATATCCTGCGCTCCTCCTGCTTTGATGTAGAAGCTTGGTGACATATTCGGTTAACACATCCACCCCTTTTCGGCTTGCCATGCCGGACAGCAAGAGCACATACATGTGCTGCTGCTCTTATCGCCAACCGGCCGGCCTGTCAAGGGATGCCCGACGGCATGTCCATCTCTGAAGGCTCCAGCCTGAGGATGCCTCACCCACCCTTCAGCAACGGGCCAAGATACAGCTGACTGCAGGGAAGCTTCTCCATATCTTACTTCCAAGTTCTTGGTGGCGATAATCCGGCTCTGTAGCGTTCTTTGCATCAGGTAAGCACAGGTCGATAGGGTGCGTCCAGATTCACAGCAATCCGTACCACGTCATCTCGGTGCGCCAAACCGTCTCCAGATCCATGCCTTAGTTGACATTCGATATTTTTTCCCCTTTCTCTGGCCCGAAGTGCTAGCCATGGTCCAAAGTTAGCATTGGACGCGTGCCTGGGCCAGTATGCTGGCCAACACCTCCCGCGCCACTCGGGCATAATGTAGCCACCGCATTTAAAGTCCTCTGCATGCCCTCTCCGAGTGTGCACGAAACCAAACAACTTTCACTGAACAGTACCTTTTTCAAGCCTGTCCTTTCGTGTCACTCCGCAGCTGTCGTTCTTAGTTATCTTCAACCGGACCTTTCGGATAGTCTCCGCTTAGGGAAGCAACCTTCGTTCAACAGAAGACATGCTCTTCTCGCGTTTCCTCGCTTTAGCCACAGCCGGGGTAGGCACGATTGCGTCTGCCAAAGTCGTTACCTACAAATGGACGGTGGACTGGGTGACTGCTGCGCCGGATGGCTTCTCTCGGTCTGTCATTGGCATTGATGGTCAGTGGCCATGCCCGACGATTGAGGCCTCGGTGGGCGACACTGTTGTGGTTGAGCTCACAAACAACCTGGGCAACCAGACCACCGGCATCCATTTTCACGGTATCAACCAGGTCAGCACCAATTTCATGGATGGTCCCAGCATGGTCACACAGTGTCCGCTACCGCCAGGATCGACCATGAAATATCAATTTGAAGTTAGTGCTTTAGTCTCCTACATCCTATTATTTTCTTTTCATCAACTCATCCTCGGGCTTTGTAGGCTGATGTTGGTGGTACGTATTGGTACCACTCCCATAACATGGGGCAATATCCGGACGGCCTGCGCGGCCCCATGATCATCCACGACCCCAATGACCCTTATGTCGGGCAGTACGATGAGGAATACATCCTCACCCTTTCGGATTGGTAAGTGGTTTGTAGCCAAAAGGTTCGATAGCCTGGGCTTACATGATGGCTAGGTATCATGAGGAGACCATCAACCTGGTGAGGGCCATGTTGTCCCCAAATAACACACAGCACAGGCCTCCTCTCCCGCAAGCCGTGCTAGTAAATGATGGTGCCGGGTCTCACTACCCCTTCGCCAAGGGCAAGACATATCGGTTTCGCATCATCAGCTTCGCAGCATTCGCCGGTTTCATGCTCCACTTTGACTCCCATGATATGAATGTCATCATGAATGATGGCGCGTACGTCAAGAAAAAACTGACATATCAGTTGCGCGTTGCCACTGCTCAACGTTACGATATTCTCGTCAGTTGTATCGACCGCGACAACCGCAACTACCCCTTCCTGGTGGCACTTGACCAGAACCCAGACCACACGAATGCCGATCTCCCTCAAAGCTGGCCGCTCAACCACACAGGCCAGCTGATCATGTTTCCCGAGAAGCCTCTTCGGGAGGATGTTGTTAACAAATGGCGCCCGTCTGATGACTCACATTTTGAGTCTCCGGATGGACCTAATTCTATTCTGCCTTCTCCAGATCAGACCATAGTCATCGACTTCACTACTTGCTTCGATAGCAATGGAATCCCTCGGTAAGCAAGCCTTCTATTCCAAACTGTTATGAGGCGTGGCCGCAAGCTGACTTGCCTCAGGAGCTGCATCAACCAGAAGCCCTACATCGAGCAGAAGGTGCCCACACTGTATACTGCCGTCACAACTGGCGAATTCAATACAGATCCAGCTGTGTACGGTCAGGTCAATCCTTTCATAGTCTCAGCGGGCAGTATTGTGGACATTGTCGTCAACAACCATGACGTCGCGATTCATCCTTTCCATCTCCATGGACATCACTTTCAGATTCTGAGGAGGCCTTCCTCCGGCACAGGCGACTGGCCTGGGGCGAAGCGAGCTCGTCTCAACAGCAACCCTCCATACCGCGATACTGTATCTGTTATGGGTAACTCCCACGCCGTGCTCCGATACAAAGCTGACAACCCCGGCGTTTACCTCTTCCACTGCCATATCGAGTGGCACGTGGAGATGGGGTTGACGGCGACCATCATCGAGGCACCGGACGTACTGCGTGACATGAGTATTCCTCAAGATCACCTTGAAATCTGCAAGTCAGAAGGAATTCCCACAAGTGGTAATGCTGGCGGAAACAGCGAGGACCCTTTGGACACCTCTAACTTCAATTCCGTACCGCCACTCGTGTACAATGGGTACGTATCAGACAATCTACCCTCGATGCCCTGCTAAGCAGAGAAGATCGGAGTGACCACCGATGCTGATACTATTTGTCCGCAGAGCCCTTTGGCCGATTCCTGGCCAGACGCGGCCGCTTGTGAAGGCAGTGCGGAGTGCCCGAGTGCGAACGCGAGCGTGAGCGCAACAATAAGGTCGAAACTCAGGTTGAGATGATATCGTTCACATGTATCACGATGACCATCTGAGGCCTCGGTTACTCTTTTCTCTGATGGCCCGGAAAGCTTGTTGGCAATATTCACTGCCCACCCAGAATATGATGACACGGCATTGCGTAGCAAGGGCTTGGCTTTCTGTCCTTGACCTCCAGGCGAGTGACGGTGTCTTTTTTTGCTCGTTGCCCTGCGTTTCATAAGTATGGTTTCTACCTCTAGCATGTAAACAGCGGGAGGAATTACTTAATCACTTGTGAAGTCCTCCCTTTTCGGGTCAAGGATTTATACACTTTGGACTGTCGTGATGATTAAGTATCTATGCAGTGACGACCAAGATGAGATTGTTTGATACCACGCTCTCAAGCGACAGAGATCTCTTTGTTTTGTCAGCATTCAATGTGTGGTACCAGTTAGGTAAGAACTCAGACTTACCCGTCTTCCATATTGACATGGCCATGTAGCATGTGATATGTGATAGCCAACCAAGTCCGAAGCCAAATCATGTCTCTGTCTTGTTAGCCCTACCTGAATGTGATGTGATTCCTTGAGGCCTAGATATAGTAAGCATTTCCATTCGCTACGAGATGGACATCAGCTTTCTCCCCCGTGTTTGTGGAGTGAATGAAGATGAGGGCCGTTCGCGGGTTTTCGTCCCAGCACCTATCCGTGTAGACTCAATTCCGTCATCAACACGTTGATACTTCTATCGCATTGAATCATCTCAGGTCAGGGATCAGTCCACAGAGGGCAATTTGAACACGTTGTGAGACTTACTCACAATTCGAATATCCGCCAGAAATGTCTTGAAGGTTCTATGACATGACGAGGAGGAATAAAAAATGCTATGGGAAACTGTAGCACGAATAGATATCAGTTTTCGGACAAATGCAAAATTTGCAGACAAGAGACACTTCGGAGCATGGTCTCCATTGTGCAGTGGCAGATTACCATGAATGACGCATGAGAAGAAACTAACACGAGTTGAGCACCGTCGAGTGTGTTGACGAAGCGGCAAAGAGGAGAAGCCAAGCCTGGGTAATATACACATCTCCACGCCAAAGATCGGAAGCAACCCCCGATCCCATCCTAAATGACGCGCGTACCTTGCTTCCTGCAACAGTTATTCCAGCCCCGTGGTCTAGCACTGTGATGCATTTACGCCGAGGACGCTGTTCTCTTCCCCTCTCATCGATCAGGTTGACGGATGAACGGCCTGCAGATTCCGTAGGATCCAAGCAGCTCGGGATGAGTTGACTGGTCCAGGCTGAATTGCACAAACAACACCAACTCCGCAGGTTGCCGCCCACTTGCTTCTGAGGCACGCCACGCAACGGAACAAAGAGCCGACTGGATGAATCTCCCGTACCTAGGATTCAACAAGACCGGATAGAGATGTGTTGCGTAGCTACCAAACCATGCAGGGTGTGCCTTTAATGCGTACATTGTGCTGCGGGACAGCAAAGAGCGCGCCGGAACGGGCTTCGGACGCTACGATAGGCAGTCTGCTATTGTACATTTGTTTCATGGCATGCAGCATATGCATAGGCTGGTTGTGTTTGGAAGTGAGTATGACACCTTTCTATGGCCGCGATGGTGATGCTTTCCGAAGTCAGGAACGCCACCACAGCGATCAAAGGCAGAAGAAAAGCGCTTAGCGCAGGTCTGGGTTTCCTTGTTTCTATTCCGTGGCTCAAAAATGAGGTCTACGTTCTGTGAGAGGTAACATGATGGTTAGGTGGCAATAGCCAACGTCAAAAGAAAAGCATGGGTTGACCCGAATCACCACATCAACTACGCAGTTGCCATCAAACCAGCAGCACAACAGCAAGTTGAGACAAGGGACAGCGGTTTTTGGGAATGTCTAAGCTGAACATGCTGTGTTGCCTTGTCTATTGTCGTCAAGGCTTCCGACAGGATAGAAATTCTCCGCGAGCCCGCCGCTTCAAAGCTTTCCATGGAACAGCTTATGCAGCAGCACCGGAGATGGTTGGGGAAGCCGGCATCATCCCTGTTTCTGCGACTTGGTTCGATATGATACAGGTGATGTGTATGATGATGAATGTATTGAAGACAGTTTACTGCCCGATCACGGCCACGTGCTTTATCTGCCCATGCTGTTGGGCTGGTGGCTGACATTCATGACAGCTAAAAAGAACGATTGCTTCGGTGATGCAGTGCCATGAAGCAATGGTTCGGTGGATGAATGGAGGGGTAATTGCAGTATCGAGATAAGAACAGCTCCACCATCTTCGTCGTGTGCAGCATGAAGATTGCCATGTACATACCCCTGGACAAGAGACGGACGCATGTTCCGTCCGCTGCCGCCGGAGAAACTCTTGAGCAGTTGGCCAAGCTATTTCTTCTGCCAGCACTCAAACAACTTAAGCCCCCCCTTGCAGCCATACTATGGCTGACCTGGTAGTCAGCTCAGCTCGGCTTCAAACCCCAAGATGGCGTCGGACGTCCGGAGCGGCAAGAGTGGTGACAGCTCACAACAAGCAGCGCGGCAGGCAAAGTCGATGCGTATGACTGATCAATGTGTGCAAAGTGTCAGCCTGGATAACAAGTACTCCGTTCTGACACTACAGATCCCTGTCAGACCGGTTGCGCCCACATCCTTCTGGATATTCCTGAGCTTCTGCGGCCTGATGAAAGGCCATAATCAAGCTACGAGTTGACAAGTAACATTTCCGAGCAATAAGCTGACGGTTCTGCATAGGGACCGGCCCCGGCCAACAATGCAGGTCAGTTGCTACCAGAGCCACACCAGAGTGAGCGCGAGAAAGCAGGCTGCAACCTGCCTTTGTGTGTCGCTTGACAGACATGAGGTTGACTCTACCGAAGTCGAGGTCTTGGTGAGTCGCACTGACGATGGTGGCGCGTGGCTTGCACCTTGGGAGTCCGACCGCCAGTCCATCCGCACAAGTGCCGATTAGCGCGCTTCTAGGTCCCGACATACTGTCCAAAGAGCGAAGAATTGGCGACCCTGGAACAACTATGCGTTTGGACGAGCAAAGAGACCTACCCAAGGGATCTAGCAAGCAGATGGCACCAGTGCCTGAGACGTAGCTCAACCTAGAAGTGGAGCATCGAAGCCATTTCTTTCAGGCCTTCATTTTGGGTTAAAAAGCCGGCGTAGGTGCTCGTTCCCCACAGCCTGCTCTCAGATACGCTTGGCCGCCTACCTTAGACACTGCCTGATATTGGCTTTGTTCTTGTGGTGTTTTGGTACGACGTGGCGATGCAAGTTGACCGCTAGACTTGACGCACTGATTGATGCATCCGGGGATCGGACGCATGGTGAGGAGAAGAAAGATCATTTCAGCTGAGATCAGACCCGCAAGGCCTTAGCATCATGGCACAGCAGTCGATAGTTCGGCGCGAAGGTTCGGCGGAGGTTCGCCGTGTTCCGAGGCTGCTGACCTAGGTAAAGTGGGCATGGGAGTCAGTCCTGGATTCCGAGGGCGGAAGGGGCAACTGAGAGTGCATTCTGCTGAGTCTTCCTGTCATCAAACATGTCCAGGCTGCGACAAATACAAAAGTTTCGAAGAACAAGATTCGGCGCATGCAAACAGAGCATGTCTAGTGTTGCATACATGTTGTTGGATGGTGGTGGGTGGTGGATGCATAGCACTGTTGGCAGCCGCAAGGCCGAGGCAGAACCAGAGCCGTCCCCTTTTGGTGCGAGGAAAGGACTGTGGGAGGCCGGATCAATCCGCCATTCGCTGGAACGCGAACAGTTCGTGCCCATGGAGGTTATGATTGGCTGACAGGATGCGACTTCCGTCCAATGTTAGGGCGTTGTGAGCCACGAGTTCCACGGGTCGCGACTTCACAGCACCTCTGTCATTGTAGGCCCATCTCTAGCCGCCAAAGTGCGACTGTCCATCTTCCACAAGATATGGCGCAGCTGGGGTTTCCGCCCATCTCAAATCGCGCTGGAGCACTGCTGCCATGTTTCTGCCAATTCTCAAGGCTTCTTTCTTCCCGAAAGAGCCGCCGGCGGCGACTGGAACAGCAAGGGCCACCATCTCACCCTGAGCTTCTCTCCGTGGCCCAAGCACCTTGGGGATGTCCGTCGGACCAAATGCTCGACCACCTGTTTCTCTCCACGACCCACCAAGTCCCACGGACTTGGCTCGAAAAACAGACAGGATCTGCTCTGCTCTCCTTCCTTCATCGATGACACGCCGTTTCGTCCGAGCTCTCCTGGGTCATCTTTCGACTGCCGCTGCCAAAGTATTGCCGTCTGGCTCGTGTTGCCTCGCACCATCAGCCGCCGCCCCTTCCATCCGGTAGCCCGGCATGAGGACCTCTGCACTTTCTGGATCTTTCTTGTCTCACACGAATGATTCCGACAGTGCATACAGGCCCTCGACAGGGTGCTCAATCAGTCTTGGCCGTACAGGTTTCAGGGCCAGGGCTGACGGCCAGCTATCGTCGTCGAGAGCCATGACCGAGCTCCGTCAAGCACGCACTTCTGATACCAGTGCGCGTGCGCTCGTGACATCGCCCATGTCTGAGCTACCACCAAACTCGCGACCTAGAGCCTATTAATTTATCCGATCACGTCATGGACCTCTTCCCATGCCTGGCAGCTCGCACAAACTAACCGCAAAACGGGACGGCTAGGGCTTGGGTATACTGTCAGATGAAGCCTAATCGGCTGCCTGTCCGTCCACCTGTGCGTCAGTCCGCCTGCTTGGCTTGGCCTCCAGATCCTGATCGTCCCCCATAGTCGCCGCTAGGTGGCGCAAACGCCAGATACCCAAGCCAACGGCTTCGTCCAGAAGAGGCAACCTATTGTCGTTCTCCCACAAGCTTCGGTGACCGACGCTTTTCAGGGCCGGTCTCACATGAGTCTATTCCCTCCTTGACTGGGTGGGACCAAGAGGAGTGTGCAGTTATGACCGGCATCTTTGACCCTTGGCCCTGTCTTACCTGACCTGGGGGCGGCTCATCCATCAAATAGATCCGGCTCGTGGAGGGTAGCTATCAGTATGGTGACGTGACGACTTGAGATGAATTATTTGGGTCAATGGAGCCTGACAGGGGGGTCCCAGGCACGCTGAGCCTCTCTGCCCTTTATATAAATTTGTCTGCCATCCCTATGGTAGATCTCTGTGCCTGATACCACTCAGTTCAACCAAGGCATCTCTGGTGACCAATCCACACAATGGTCGGCACCATGTCTTTTCTCCTCTTTGGAGACCAGTCGCTCAACACGCATGCCTTCTTGGCCGAGTTCTATCGTCTAGGGGCCCCAGGTATCCTTGCCAAGACCTTTCTCGAACAGGCCGGCCAGGCTTTGAGGGAGGAGATTGATGGTCTGGGGAAACTGGATCGCGCCCAACTACCCATCTTTCGCACTCTCCAACAGCTTAATGAGAGATATCACGCTCAGTCTCGCAAGCACTCCGGTGTCGACAGCGCCTTACTTTGTGTCGCTCAACTAGCTCACTATATCGAGTAAGCCCCTGAGCGGTCTCCGAGAGAGGTGGAACACAGAGAACTAACGTTACTGTACAGTCGAGCTGAGAAGGAACCTCAAGATGTAATGGCCCATGAGGACACCTACATTCTCGGTCTTTGCACTGGTCTGTTCGCTGCTGCAGCCGTGGCATCGACGGCTTCTGTGTCTACCCTGATACCCGTTGCCGTGCAGACGGTCCTGATGGCATTCCGAACCGGCTCGCATGTCGCTTCATTGGCGGAGAGGCTGTGCCCTGCTACTAATCGGTCTGATCCTTGGACGCACGTCCTGGTCGATGTCACCGAGGCCGATGTCACCAAGGCCCTCCAAAGCTTCCACTCCTCCTATGTAAGCACGCATGTCTCCTGCAATGAATCTAACAGCTGTTAATATTGTGCTGCCTAGTCCGTACCCCCTCCTAGCCAGGCCTATATTAGTGCTGTGTCTACCCACCGTCTAGCCATCTCTGGTCCTCCAACAACTCTCAAGGCGTTGGTTGAAAGCAATTTATTGGGTGCACAGTCGACATCGATCCCTGTGTATGGGCCGTATCACTCTGCCCACCTACACTCTGGTGTCGACATTGACAGACTGTTAAGGCTTGACGACGTGAACGTTACTCGTCTTCTTGAGCAGACCAGGCCACGCTCGGCGGTCATGTCTGGAGCTCGAGGCACCTGGATCGCCAGCCTCGACACGAAGGATCTTATTCGTACTGTCACTCGAGAGTGCTTGACAGAGCTACTACAATTCCACAAGGGACTTGAGCTCTGTGTTGAGACAGCGCAAGCTTTTGACGGTAGTAGCTGTCTGGTCGTCCCCTTCGGCCCAACAACAAACGCCGAGAGTCTCTCCAGTCTCATCAAGCAAAAGACAGAGCTCACCGTCATCACTTGTCAACCACCAAAAGTCACAAACAACAGTGACGCTCGTATTGGCAATCATGGACCCAGTGGGAAGTGCAAGCTAGCCATTGTGGGCATGGCTGGTCGCTTTCCTGATGCTGCAAGCCACGAAAAGCTGTGGGAGCTTCTGTCGCAGGGCTTGGACGTCCACCGTGTCGTACCAGCTGACCGATTCAACATCGATACACACTATGATATCACAGGTAAAGCCATCAACACTAGTCACACCCAGTATGGCTGCTGGATTGAGAACCCTGGGTTGTTTGACCCCAGGTTCTTCAACATGTCGCCGCGCGAAGCTTACCAGACCGACCCTATGCAACGCATGGCCCTAACCACGGCCTATGAAGCATTGGAAATGTCTGGGTATGTCCCGAATCGGACAGCCTCGACCAGGCTTGACCGGATTGGTACATTTTATGGCCAGACCTCCGATGATTGGCGAGAAATCAATGCCGCACAGGAAGTCGACACATACTTCATCACCGGGGGAGTACGCGCCTTTGGCCCTGGCAGAATCAACTACCACTTCGGTTTCAGTGGACCTAGTCTGAACATCGATACAGCCTGTTCTTCCAGTGCCGCAGCTCTGCAAATCGCATGCACCTCGCTCTGGGCTAAAGACTGCGACACGGCAGTCGTTGGCGGCTTGTCTTGCATGACCAACCCCGATATTTTCTCAGGACTCAGCCGTGGCCAGTTCTTGTCCAAGACTGGTCCCTGTGCCACGTTTGACAATGGGGCCGATGGTTACTGCCGAGCTGATGGCTGCGCCTCCGTCATCGTGAAGCGTCTGGATGATGCCATTGCTGATAAGGACAATGTCCTTGCGGTCATCCTGGGCACGGCGACGAACCATTCTGCCGATGCCATATCGATCACCCATCCTCACGGACCTACGCAGTCGATCCTATCATCAGCCATTCTCGATGAGGCTGGCGTCGATCCTCTTGATGTTGACTACGTCGAGATGCACGGCACTGGTACTCAGGCCGGTGATGGCACGGAGATGGTCTCTGTCACAGACGTATTCGCACCTGCCAACCGCAAGCGTCCTGCAGACAGACCTCTGTATCTCGGCGCTGTGAAATCCAACATCGGCCACGGTGAGGCTGCTTCAGGTGTGACAGCTCTCTGCAAGGTTCTCATGATGTTGCAAAAAAATGCCATCCCTCCTCACGTCGGCATAAAGAAGGATATCAACAAGACCTTTCCTAAGGATCTTGCGGAGCGAAACGTCAACATCGCTTTCCACATGACACCCCTCAAAAGGTATGATGGGAAACCCAGGAGAATCTTCATCAACAACTTCAGCGCCGCCGGCGGTAATACTGGTCTCCTCCTTGAGGATGGTCCTAGCCAGACGCCCACACAAGCGGACCCTCGCAGTGCTCAAGTCATTACTATCACGGCCAAGTCCAAGACGGCCATGATTAAGAATGCTGAACAATTGGTTACGTGGATGGAGGAAGAATCCTGAAACCCCGCTTGCTGATGTTGCTTACACCACAACGGCCCGTCGCATGCAACACTACTGGCGCCTGAATGTCGCCGCCTCCACCTTATCTGAAGCCATGTCGGCCATCAAGGAGCGGCTTACTCAAAGCTTTGTGCCCATCTCGACTGAGCAGCCAAAGGTGGCCTTCTTGTTCACAGGCCAAGGCTCTCATTATGCTGGTCTTGGTAAGGACCTCTACGCCCACTACGCTGTTTTCAGAGACAGCATCGATGAGTTCAATCACATTGCCGAAGTCCATGGCTTCCCGTCTTTTGTACCATTGATTGATGGCAGCGAACCTGACGTCTCCAACCTATCACCCGTGGTTGTGCAGCTTGGCCTTTGCTGCTTCGAGATGGCTCTGGCCAGATTGTGGTCTGCATGGGGCATCAGGCCCGCTGTGGTTCTGGGGCACTCTCTCGGAGAATATGCTGCGCTGAACGTCGCCGGCGTGCTGTCCGCGAGCGACACCATCTATCTCGTCGGCAGTCGCGCTCGACTTCTCGTTGACAGATGCACTGCTGGTACCCATGCCATGCTCGCTGTGCAGGGCCCGGTTGGAACTGTCAACGAGGCTCTCGGTTCCGAATCCTCCTCAGTCAACATCGCCTGCATCAACGGGCCTCGTGAGACCGTTCTCAGCGGTGAAGTCGACCACATGATGAGGGTTGCCACGCAATTGGGCGCGTCTGGATTCAAGTGCACCCAGCTGAAGGTTCCCTATGCTTTCCACTCGGCCCAAGTCGAGCCAATTCTTGACGAATTTGAGCATCTTGCCCGTTCCACCCGCTTCATGCCTGCTCAGGTGCCTGTTATCTCACCTCTTCTTGGTAAACTCGTTGAGCATGAGCTTATTGACTGTTCGTATCTTCGCAAACATGCCCGCCAACCTGTGGACTTCCTCGGGGGCATCATCTCGGCACAACAATCAGGAGCAATCAATGAGAAGACCGTCTGGCTGGAAATCGGCCCTCATCCTGTGTGTGCCAACATGGTCAAGGCCGCTTTTGGAGTGGCCACCATTGCGGTACCCACGCTCCGACGCAGCGAGCCAACCTATAAGACCTTGAGCAACGGGTTGTGCACTTTGCACACCGCAGGCCTGAGCCTTGACTGGAATGAGTACCACCGGGATTTCAGCGAGTCCACTCGTCTACTCAATCTGCCCAGTTATTCCTTCGACGAGAAGAACTACTGGCTGCAGTATAGTGGTGATTGGTGTCTCACCAAGAACCGAGGCTCGGCTCCGGCTAAGGCGCCTGCTCTTCTGGAAGCGCCGAAGCCTAAGCTCTCGACAACTTCAGTGCATGCCGTCACCAAGGAGGAAATCAACGGCGACATCGTCATCATCGAGACCGAGACCAATCTTTCCCGCGAGGATACAAGAAACATTCTTGAGGGGCACTTGTGCAACGGGACCCCTCTCTGCCCTTCGACGCTGTACGCGGACATGGCAATGACCATCTGTGACTACGCTTACAAGCTGGCACGACCCGAGGCTGTAAATATCGGACTCGATGTTTCCGATGTGGAAGTTCCCAAGACATTGATCTTTGATGATAAGGTCGAATCTCACATGCTGCGCTGTACAGCAATTACCAATGTTACTCTTGGCCACGCTGATCTTGTCTTCCACACTGGTGAAGGCCCAAAGAGGACTGAGCACGCGAAATGCCGGGTCAACTTTGGCAACACCGAACAGTGGGCTGACGAGTTCGAGCGTGTCAAATATCTCATCAGCGGTCGCGTTGATGCCCTTGTCGAGGCCGAGAAGGTTGGGAAGGCTTCAAAGATCGGCAGAGGCCTGGCCTACAAGCTTTTCACTGCCCTTGTGGACTACAACCCTCGTTTCCAGGGAATGGAAGAAGTTATTCTCGACAGCAGAACATGCGAAGCCACCGCCAAAGTCTCTTTCCAGACAAGCGAGAAAGATGGAAATTTTTTCTTCAGTCCGTACTGGATTGATAGCTGCTGCCACATATCTGGCTTCATCATCAATGGTACAGATGCGGTGGACTCGCGCGAACAAATATTCATATCCCACGGTTGGGGCTCCCTCAAGTTCATTGAAAAGCTCGATGCCTCCAAGACATACCGCTCCTATATCCGCATGCAGCCGGTCAAGGACACCAAGGTTATGGCTGGCGATGCTTATGTTTTCGATGGCGACCGCATCGTAGGAGTCTGTGGCGACGTTAGATTCCAGTCGATCCCTCGCAAGGTCATGAACATGGTTTTGCCCCCCCGCGGGCGCGCGGCAGCCGGCATGATCACTGGTGCTGCGCCCAAGGGTGTCTCCAAGCCCACAATCGTGTCACCACCCAAGGCGTCTGCCCCCAAGACAAAAGCCTCGAAGCCGCTGACTTCCTCCAATATTCACACCGTCAACGCAAAGCTTGCCAAGCCCATGTCAGTTGTGGCTGAGGTCATGGATATCATTGCTAAGGAAGTCGGCGTGTCTCATGATGAGCTTGCCGATAACATTGCCTTCACAGACCTTGGGTGCGACTCACTCATGGCGCTCACCGTGGCTGGACGTATGCGAGAGGAGCTCGATCTGGATATCGATTCTCATGCTTTCGTTGACCACGCAACGGTCGGCGCTTTCAAGAAGTTCCTGGCCCAGCTCAAAGTTCAAGATGATGCCAGTCCTGTCCAAAAGACTCACAGCCGCTCTGGGAGCTATGGGGCCCAAGACTCTGGTGTCTCATGCGTCTCGGACTCAGAATCGGACCTGACATCTTCTGATTCAGTTGTCACAACACCCCCAAACGAGAGTGACGAAACATCACTGAAGGATGGTGAAAGTCACGACAGCCTGCAATCCATTGTACGGTCTACCATTGCTGCAGAAATGGGCGTTGATGTTGACGAAATTATCGCGGCTCCGGACTTGGCTGCACTTGGTATGGATTCGCTGATGAGTCTTTCCATTTTGGGCACACTACGAGAGCAGTCAGGTTTGGATATTCCTGGCGACCTTTTCGTCCTTAACCCCTCCCTGTCCCAAGTTGAGAAGGCGCTTGGATGTGGACCAAAGTCGAAGGTAGCACCAGTAGAACCAGTAGCACCCAAAGTGTCCAGCATTGCTCGCCCAGCCTCGCCGCCGGTCGCCCCTACACGGGTCATCAACACCCATCCCGGCAACACCACAGCAAGCATCACCAAGCCCCCACCACCCAAGGAGATCGTTGATCATTACCCCCATCGCAAGGCTTCATCGACTCTTTTGCAAGGTAGTACGCGAACTGCTACAAAGAAGCTCTTCCTGATTCCCGATGGTGGCGGTTGCGCGACCTCTTACACCGAGATTAGCCAAATCTCTCCTGACTGGGCCGTTTGGGGGCTCTTTTCGCCCTTCATGAAGACTCCCGAGGAGTTCAATTGCGGCGTGTATGGGATGGCTGTCAAGTTTATCGCGGAGATGAAACGTCGCCAACCGCAGGGTCCCTACCATATTGGGGGTTGGTCGGCTGGTGGTGTCATCTGTTTCGAGATCGTCAACCAGCTCACGAAGGTCGGCGAGCGCGTCGATAACTTGATCCTTATCGACTCTCCTTGCCCCGTCATTATCGAGCCGCTCCCTCGATCTCTGCACGCCTGGTTTGCTTCCATCGGGCTCCTTGGGGATCGCGAAGATGCGTCGAGCAAGAAGATTCCCGATCGGCTGCTCCCTCATTTCGCAGCCTCTGTCAATGCCCTCAGCAACTACACGGCGGAGCCCATCC